GGACAATTTCAGATAGATGAGCTGATATGATAATACAATTTCAATTACCGATGTTTTGTTCGATAAATGAATGTATAAAATTAAATAGAATTCCTGTTTATTAAAAAAATTTGAATAAAATATTAGTATCAGTGTGAAAATCATGTTTTCTTTCCTTTGCAAAATTGGTAATGGTTAAACATTAGTATTTGGGTGGTGTTCTACAGACATCCGTATATCTTATTGATTTGTTTAGATTGATAATATTCCATAATAACAGTGACAGTACATTTCGTAATAGTTGAGTTTTTGAAATCGAAATTTAATAATTAATCTCTGTTTAAGTTTTGTAACTCATTTCATGCTATGAAAGAGTACATAAAATCGATGAATATTTATTATCACCAAATTTGTACTAATTGATCACTGAAATTCCTCTGATATTGATAACAGAAAAAATGAATTGCTGTAACCCTGGTTATCGTTTAAAACATATGTATCATAATGAGCAAAGATAATAAATAGTGACTAGATGATATATTTAACATACTGACTTCTCATAACCAGTCTATCATATTAATAACCAAGCAATGTATAAATCTTTTTAAATGGAACCATAGTTATAGAAAATATTATGTCTAGTGTAATCTAAAAGAACTATCTTATTCAGAATACTTTGTCAAAGTCATGATTTCACGAGTTATTGTTAAGAACTATCTATACAAACAATTGGTAATTATTAATAAAATAAATTATAGATTAATGAGATTATAATTTAAGGATGACCTTTGAGTGATGCCAAAGTAACCTTGGGAGTGTTTACCTACTTACTAGGGCTAAATGAGGGTTTTAAAGTAGTTTGAAGAATAAGGATTATGATTCACAGCTGATGGTTAGGGTTAGGAATTAGATTTACAGTTTTTCATCACGAACTAACATTAGCTAAAATGCTAAGATGTTATTTTGCCAGATGGGTGAATGAATTTCGCGCCAAAATTTAGGACCTATTATCCTAAATCTGATTGGTTCGTCTATAAAATTATAGTCTTACCAGTCAAATGTTAGGATCTTCACAATTTATCCTATTTACGACTGATAGTGTAATCCTAGTTATGAAACAGTATATATTTTAATCTATAACTTGTGACTAACAAAACAAAGTATGATAATTTTTACAATATAACATTGTAAATATACTTTTCAACAAAAAATAGCTTGTTTATATAAAAATAAACCAATCCATCAACTAGTATTAACCTAGTCAATACTAATCATTGACTCTTTTTTGATTAAGATATTTAAACCAAACAATAACTCCTTTTTTAAATCACTACCTATTTACATTTAATTAAGTGAAGTAAAATTCACACTTCCAAGGTCAACAAATTGATTAAGAGCCTGTTTTGAGCATATAATTACTATCAGAATGGGTTTTGTGGAGATTTTTAGAAACTTCACAGGTTGAAATCATGAGTCAATTGAAGCTAGACCACCATGGAAAATCTGGAAGCACTGGACGGCCGTTTCGTCTTAGTATGGAACTCCTTAGCAGTGCGCATCCACGATCCCGCAGGTGGGGTTCGAACCCAGGACCTATCATTTCGAGTATTGAAAACGTGTATATCTGTTTTATTCTACTGTTTAAATACAGAACACTTCACTTCTACCTGAAGTTTGTGATGATGATGTCGTTCAGAAAAACGACGAAAGCTCCACAACCAAACCATCCAGCTCAGAGAACAAAACTCCATCCAAATCATCTACCTGAGCTACAAATCTTTTCCACCACAGTAAAATTCTTTTTCATAAAGATCAAAAATAAAATTTACTACTAATTATTATCATTATTCGATAGTTATACAAATATACGAATTATTCTTATTCAGTTTCTGTATTACTATGATAAATGAATAAACTGATAAGAATAGATGAAAAAAACACTTCAACAAGTATGTCTCCAACCATATGGACTGATTTGAATTGATGATACAAATATATGCATAACTCTTCATCTAACTGTTAACTTGGGCGTCTAAGTTTAGTCACTTTGTCTGTTTAGAAAAAAAATTTTAATAAACGAAACGTTATTTTGTATATTTTTACTATTGCTTATGTTCGTATTTGCGATCATTAATAAAGAAATGTGATACAATGAACAAATAACATTAATTTATGCGTTACATTCATTGCTTCTGTTACTGATGAAGTCAATGATAGTTATAATAGTAATTATCAATCGTTTGTCTACAGAGTAATACAGGAATGACTGTATGATCAGTTAATCAGTTGCGACTGAGATTCGTATAACTGACTGCATTGTAACCTAGTTATGCTTAAACAGGTAAAGGGAATTGTTATTCAGATTAATGATTTTTATCGTTAATAAATATCAACACATAGACAAACACATAAAGAAGTAATTAAATATGCACCCATATATTGTAGAGAAAGATAACTCTTGAATCATTTGTTACCTCATACAGTGTTTTTTTCTCTGTAAAAAGACTGAACGGATGGATAATATCAACACACTGTAATACACCTATATAATGAACTAAAATAATAATCTGATAAACGCTTTGTATTTATTTTATTCATTATACGAATAAAGGTGGTAAATTGACCTCAAAATGATTTTTTTAAAATAACTATTCAAATGTTCTTTTTCTGAAACTAAAATTTCCCATTAGATAAGATAATGAATTGAATCAGGTTACCTAGGTTACACAGACCTCAAAAATACTGATAGATATATCTTACCTGTTTAACTGACCTGTTTGTATGTGTATAACTGTGTATTTTGATAACATGCATATGTTAATATTGAAGTATTAGATAAAATGAAAACTTTGTTGGGGGGAACTAAATTAGTGAACTACTGGTTGTAAACAAAATAAACAATTCATTTCAATTCCGAATCTGTAATAAGGTAAGTAATGTGTGTATACGTAGACATGTGGAACAAAAATCACAACAAATTATTGTATTATTATTATTATTAGTGTTATGATTATTACTATCTATGGCGTTAATCAACTTTTTTGAATGGCAATGTATCGATCAGATAAGATAAACTATTGAGATAAACGGAATAGTAGACGGGAACACATAAATATATATATCGATAATAATAATAATGACCAGTAGTAACACTACATTTAATGCTACATCGAGGAATAACATGTAAGGTTTATCAGTAATCATGATATCTAAAATGAATACGCTAAGATATGATCGTTCGTCATTTTTATGATAAAAGCAATTCGAATTATTGTATATATATACATACATACATACACACATACACTATATATATATATATATATATATATATATATATATATATATATATATATATATATATATATATATATATATATAGATAGATAGATAGATAGATAGATAGATAGATATAGATATAGATAGATATAGATAGATATAGATATAGATAGATAGATAGATAGATAGATAGATAGATACACATGTTTTTATAACGTAGTTCAACATTTTGGACTAGTAAGGTGATAATTGGAAACACTTTACCTACTGGACTTTATGCAATCAACAATGTCTTTAGCCATCAAAAAATGAATATGTCCTATATTATGCTACAAAACTCCGTATGTAGATACTGTTAATCAACCTCTAACTAAGTTAGTATTATTTACGCAATATCGATAAAACTGAACGTTATTTCAATATTGTGTATTGTAGTAGGCTGGACTTCAATAAGCCCAATATATTATTCAATGTCCAATGGAAACTGAATGTTTCACGAGTGGACTCCGTCTACTTCGGTCTGAACACTTGGGTGTTATCTTTGAGATTCATTAAACCAGTGTAATCTGAAGTTACGTATATAGATTCATACTTCATAAACGAGCTGTCAAATTAAAACCGGAAACCGAGACTCTATATATAGCATAGTGGTTGCAGACACGTGAAACTTTGTTAAGGATAATAAGTCACAGCATACTAAGTGTTTCTGTCATGACATTAGAACACAAACTGAGTGAAGAAGTATGTCTTTCCAATTAGTTCATCATCATGGATCTCCACTAACATATAGTTCTTACAATTTATTAAAATGTAAATAAGAAATAAGGTGGTGATCCAACTTAACGGATTTCTTAATATTTTCCCTAAAGACAATAATAAATTAGTTACCCGACTGATGGACAGTTAAAGACAAGATTGTATAAATGGTTAGTCGTAAAAACTCGTCATGTAAAAACAGGAGTAAGGACTGAGTTTTGGATTAATCATTGGGATAAAAATATTTAATACTATTTATGAAATTAATAGTATGTAATTAAGAAAACGGATGAAAAGAGATGAAGTAACTTAACTATTAAGATATGTAGATTATAAATTAAGATTGAACAGAAATGAAAAATGGTTTTTAACAAACTTAAGAGTATTTATTTAGGTCAGGTTAAATTTAGAGGTTTTGTAAAAAAAATTTCTGTATACAAATATTATGTTCAGTGGGATTATATGTGTAGTTCTGAAAGCTGTGTTGTGTAGTGACAGGTATCAACCAAATAAACCTAAAATTGACGAAATTGTTTGATAGCTATCAATATTTTTAAGAAGATAATGAACTGCGTTAACAAAACCTATATTTATTTCCAGAGGCTGAGTCCTATACTAGGACGAAACGACCGTCTAGTGCTTCTGGGTTTTCCATGGTGGTCTAGCTTCAATTGACTCATGATTCCAACTATATTTATTTGTCAGAAATCCAATACATTCATTACCAAGAAGTTATTTAGACTGATTACTATATGTGTTTGATAACCCAAAGGCATATCCATCGTGAAGAAGTGGTTTATACAATCATAAAACGTTAGAATTTCAATGTTCTACTAGGGATATTACACATGTGTCACTAAATTTATCATTACCAGTTCACGAAATGTCCAATTTATCTGAAATTATTTGTCATTTTCAGTTGTATCCATAAGTGTAAAGGAAAAAAATGTTTATATCGGAAAGTAGATATTTTAAAATTGACTTACCATTTGAATCCACATCCATAGATGACGTATCCACAGTAATTGGTTCGCTGACAATATAATCACTATTTACTAATTTAACAGTCAATTCGTTATTTGTAAGTCCAATAGGGCTTGTAGTAGTCATACGTATGCACAGACAACTGAAATGTACTCATCAAGTGTGATTTTAATAATAAATTGTTTCCTAAAATAATTTAATCCTGAAAACCAATGAACAATTAGTTGTTCCTTTCAGCCAATCAACGGATAGTATTTTGAGCCAATCATACTATAGATAAATGAATTAAGTAAAAATTTCATCTGTTATTAGAATATGTAAATAAGAATCATTGGGTTTCGAATAATGTGAAATTGTGCTGTTAAATTGTTAACCAATTACTTACAACTGAATTTCGATACTACAACTAATTTTATATGTTAGATAAAGTTGAGATTCGATATGTGTACCCAACTCAAGAGTAGTTGATAAGTTGTATTCACAGATAAATTCCTTTGAAAAGATAATAAAATGGAGAAAACTTATACAAACTATTCGAGATGGTGGAGAAGATTTGTAGCTCAGGTGAATGATTTTGGTAGAGTTTTGTTCTCTGAGCTGGATTGTTTGGTCGTGGAGCTTTCATCATTCTTCTGAACGACATCAGCACAAACTTCAGATAGAAGTCTATCTACCATCCAGCTCAGAGAACGAAACTCCACCAAAATGCAATTTTTTCATTTTCCAATTAATAATTCAACGATAATGGTTATTTTGTTTATGACATTTAAAGGACAAAGGTCATGGTTGCATGAGAAACAAATTAACTAATTTGAAAAAAAGTCAGTTTCATTCATTAAACTGACTATTCAAGCACTGCAATATATTTTGAAGAATAAAATACTTAGAGCTTACTCAACACTTAAGTGAATTAGTGAATAGACTGATTGAAAACCTACGATCTATTTAAAAAACCATCTTTTTATCTAATCAAAAATGTAGGGATGTATATATCATAATAGATCACCTGAAATAACAAATACTAAATCCAGACAGAATGTTTAACTTTCATTTTTAAGTAGCATTTAAATACTAAAGGTTTTGGTAAACATCTACCGAGTAAAACAAAGTACTGTTTTAAGTTTATATACTGTATTTATAATATAAGTTTTACTTCTTACCATTTAGTGTAATAAAATTCATGATGATTGTAATGAAGATACTTTTTTGAATTGGTCTAATTCATTTACAATTTAATTAATCTAAAAACAAGTGTACTATATCGAAAAAATACACTAATTATTGACTCTTAACAATTTACTTTACTTATCTGTGAATTTCAACACTAAATAAGATTTGATGCTTGAATCACTTGACTTTCAGTCATTAGTTTCGAATATTCAATCCTATTTCACAAAAGAAGTGTCCATTAACGATAACTACATCAATCTATTCATTTTGATTAAATAATGGATCAAATATTAGATTTAGGCTAGGGTTTTTTTTCAGCAAAGATGGATAGTGGCTAGCTGTGGAATCCAGGACTCACGTTCCGTCCTATTTGGGACTCGTCAGCTGGATGTACCTGCATCTTAGATTCGATGTCCACCCCGGTACTCCAACCCAGTACCGTTCGCTTCAAACGCCATTTCATTATCCACTTAGCTACTGATTCCTGATAACTACTTGCTTGTGCAATGGGGTAAAGTTTAAATGCACTAGGTGTTGTTTTCTTGAATCTTTCCATTGATGTTTAGGATTGCAATTGATTAGTCTCTTATCGGCATATGTGCATACTGTTAGCATAGCCTTGACATTGCCTTAGTTCACAAGCATTCTAAACAATGATAAACTCAGTAGCTAAGTGAATCACAGCATAGCGTTCGAAGCGAATGGTCCTGGGTCGGAGTACAGGGATGGATATAAAATCTGAGATGCAGGTATATCCAGGTGACGAGTGCCAAACAGGATGAAACGTGCGTCTTGGATTTTACTGCTAGCCACTATCCATCTTTGCTTATAAAGCTTGTGACTTAAGATAATATCGAAGCAATACACACAGTATGCACATATGCCAATAAGAGACTGATCAACTAGTGTTAAACCTATCCCTTATTTGATTTTGTTTCATTCTCTGTATATCGTCAATACAGAAGAAATTGTGTATCCTTACATAATCGTAATGAAAATTCAGTGATATTAAATTATTCTTTTTATGCAATGAAGGAAACAAAGTTTAAAAAGTCACAAAATAACTTGCGATAGTTGGATTAATAAATATTCAAGCGATCTTAGTGAAAGTTTATTCTTTATCAAAGCATTTCTTGTCCATGATCCATAATGTATATGATCTCATAGAGTTTTCATTCATTTCTAGAAATTTTCATATTTAATTATCCAGTCACATTTATCGTTTAAATGTATAAAATGAGTTATAAAGACAACGAAAATTTCATGATTGAACGATTAAGGTAAGAGAATATGATATCACCGAAAATAAATGAATTATGACAACTTCTTTATATCGATAACATGAATAAGTAGCATTAAGTTCTAAAAACTATTCACTGAATGCAACTATATACTTCAGAAATGATTAATGAAATTACTACAGTTTCATAGTATATCATTTAGGCTCAAAATTAAACCATTTAAATGGACGAGTGGGCTAAAATAAGCTTACTAAAGTTACAATATTGAATACAGGAAAAATCAAACAACAAGAATTTACCTCCTAAGTATTTATTCAATTCAATAATATTGTTAGCCATCAAAGCAACAGTAAACATTATCTAACTATTCATTGAAAGTAAATTAAAATCAATAGGTAAAAAAGTATTTTGAAATTAAATCAAACATTGAAAGTAGATGGAAAAAACGTATAAAAAAAGTAATATCAAACAATAAATAAGCAAATAGTTAAGTAGATATATAGATAGCTAGATCTTATCGATATTCATCGTCGTAGTTATCAGCAAATACAATCACACTAATAAATGCTAACTAGCTATCTTTCCTGTATTATTGCAACATAAATGATAAAAACTACAGATTATTTTGATGAACGTGCATGTTATCTATCTATCTATCTATCTATCTATCTATCTATCTATCTATCTATCTATCTATCTATCTATCTATCTATCTATCTATCTATCTATCTATCTATCTATCTATCTATCTATCTATCTATCTATCTATCTATCTATCTATCTATCTATCTATCTATCTATCTATCTATCTATCTATCTATCTATCTATCTATCTATCTATCTATCTATCTATCTATCTATCTATCTATCTATCTATCTATCTATCTATCTATCTATCTATCTATCTATCTATCTATCTATCTATCTATCTATCTATCTATCTACCTATCTATCTATCTATCTATCTATCTATCTATCTATCTATCTATCTATCTATCTATCTATCTATCTATCTATCTATCTATCTATCTATCTATCTATCTATCTATCTATCTATCTATCTATCTATCTATCTATCTATCTATCTACCTATCTATCTATCTATCTATCTATCTATCTATCTATCTATCTATCTATCTATCTATCTATCTATCTATCTATCTATCTATCTATCTATAATATAATATAATATAATATAAAACATAACAAATAACTTCACTGAATTCAAATGTAGAATAACTTTCTATTGAAAAACATTATAGACATTCTCTTTAGTCATTTGATTTTACCATTTACCCAATTAAAATTCTCTGCCTTTATGATTCAAGATTACGTTTGTCGATTTTCAAATGGAGTACAGTAAAATACATTATGCTTTCTACTTAAATTCAGTTGATGTTGTTTGCTTGTATCTTCACATTGGTGTTTAGGACTGCAATCGGTCAGTCTCTTGTTGGTGCATGTGCATCCTGTGCAGATTGCTTTGATATTGCCTCAAGTCACAAGCTTTACAAGCAAAGATGAATAATGGCTAGTAGTGGAATTCAGGACGCGCGTTTCGTCCTATTTGGCACTCGTAACATGGATATACTTGTACCCCAGAGTTGATGTTCACTCCATTAGTTTAAAGTGTTTTGTATGTGTACCTTAAAATCATTATTATATGCATTAATTTATCATTATCTATTCTTCAACGTAGTTTATAACATATATAATTTTAATGATGGAGATAACAGTTTTTATACGAAGTTGTCAGCTTTATCTTGGGACTAAAATATTTCAGTGTGTAAATTGTCTTTTGTATACTCCACTTTGCACTGAAATGAGGTTAAAATCGATTCAGTAACCCTTCTTTAAATCGTATAAGTAAATTAGAACGAACCATTAACCCACGGTTCGAAACATACAACGAACTGTTCAGTTCATCCTAGTATTTGTTATATTCCCCTTAGAAGTTTCATATGACAATGGTTACTGTTTAATCAATCAACGTGTTTATCATTTAAAACAATCTGCGTATATTAGAGGTCAAAATATAAAGGTCAACTAATATGTGTATTCAGTTCATTATTGTACAGATCAACTGATAAGATAAACACGTTATCACTTACTTAAATCATAACAAATTGTGAAGCCGAACAGAGGAATAAGGTTATATTAATTCTTTTTTTTTTGAATAATAATTAAAATTTCAAACAGTTTTCACGTATGGTGAGTACAAATCAGCCTTCTTTCTCCTTCTATAGAGAAGTTCGTCTTATTTGATGCGTGACTGGAAGTCTAAAGTAATCTACCAACGACAATTCTTTTCAATCTATTCGTTCCCAAATTTTATGAAGGATTGAATTTTAGAAAAAAAACGAATAATCATCAATTTATAATAGTTCTAATCATGGCTAGAGAACCCTTGAAAATCCTGGAAATCAACAGACAATCATTTTTTTCTTATTTTAAAGCTGTGGAAAAAAAGGGATTTTAGACGAAATCGAACCAAGAAACTTCTAATTTCACTGTCAGCATAATATTACTAAACTATTGCTGAAAAATCTGATAGTCTATATTTTTCAACTTCATTGATTTCACAATATAGTTTGACCACTGACAAGTCCCCATGTCTAAATCATAACATGAATAAGCTCCACCAATTAAAAACTCTCAATAGAAATTTAGGAATTATTTTAAAACTAGTCACTAGTTTACACATGATTATTATCACATATCTGAAGTAGATCATTTGATCTC